CTGGCCAGGAGAGGGCACCAGATCTCATTACAGATGGTTGTGAGCCACCGTGTGGTTGCTGGGAATTGCACTCAGGACCTCTGGAAGAGCAGGTAGTGCTCTTAACCTCTGAGCCATCTCTCCAGCCCTGGCCACAGTCCATTTTTAAGTGTAAACAGCAGGAAAGCAGCCTCATACCCCAAATGGACTCCAGGCAGGGTGCCTGTGTCAGGTCTACATGGCTCCCAGTACTGTCACCCAGCTCCTGCCTGGGCAGAACTGTGTTGTTGGCTGCTTGCCTCTTGCAGACAGAACTGCAGAGCACAGGCTGCAGTTCTGCCAACTCCACTGCTGACCAGGACACACAAAGGGCAGAAGCATGCTGTTTCTTTCATGACATCTGCTTTTGATTTTTTTTCAAGACAGGGTTTGTGTATCCTTGTAGACCTTGCTGGCCTTGAACTCACTGGGGTCCATCTGCCTCTGCCTCCCGGGTGCTAGCTTTAAAGGCGTGTGCTGCTGCCACCATCACCTGGCAAATCAATCTTATCCTTGTATTAATTCTTAACGGTTCCTTGAGGTGGGTTAGTGCCACCACTAACAGCAAAGCTTCCTTCATTAAATATTTTGGTACTGCATTTGCTTCACAACTGAAATGAGTTCTGATGAGGCAGCTGCTCTGACATGTAGAGATTTAAAGTTAAAAACCAAACCCAAAATGTTCACTTCATGTGTTCCTGTGAGTGCAAGTGGGTCACAAGAATCAATCTCAGGATTAATGGCAGCTGGCTTTATCTCTGCACCTACCTGCCTCAAAGGCCTACCCAGAGGGGTTTTGTTCTCAGCTTAGCAGTGGCCAGCGCATTGTCTAACAAGGTGGGAGCAGGGTGCTGTCCCTTCCTTTGGCCATGGCACTGTGGTTTAAATATGCAGGCACTGAGCCCTGCTTCGGCAAATGCACAGCCTTTAGTTCCTTACCTCTCAAGTGCCTTTGCCCCCGTGCTTGTGTCTTCTCCGCGCAGAGTGGTCTGGTCTTCTCATCCTTCTAAGTCAGGAGGATGAGCTCCCCGGACAGGTTCTGGACTCTGGCATTATGACATATAGCCGTTCCAGCTCGTGGGCCTCTGCTGCCAGCTTGGTCTCCTCTGCCCACCTCTACACATGGCGAACAGTTGCCTGTGGCTTCACTGATTCCTTGGTTACTTCATCTTCAAAAATTATTTAGGAGTGGGAGACACACAGGATGCAGGTACACCTTTCCAGATTCCATCTCAATTCAGGGCACTGGTGAGAAAGGCACCCAAACTCAAGAACATGGTGCTGTGGACTTCACATGGACAACAGATGGCCATTTTTTTTTTTTCAGAATATGAAAATAAAACTATGGAACACGTCATGAATTTGCGTGTCATCCTTGCGCAGGGGCCATGCTAATCTTCTCTGCATCGTTCCAATTTTAGCATATGTGCTGCCGAAGCAAGCACCAAAAGTAATTTTTAAAACCAGAATATTTTGGGGTACTGGGCCTTGTGTGCAAATGACACACACTACTACACTACATCTGCAGCCTGAGTCAGCCTGAGAGCCCTGGTGGTGCTCCTGCTTATCCACTATGGGTTTTTCACTTTGGTCTTGTCTCAGTGCCCCCCAAGTCTGTGTAGTCAATTCTAAGAAAATCCACACTTTCTGCTCTACAAGGCCTTTGAGAATCTCACAATCATGGTTGGGAATACTTTAGTGTTGAAAAGGGAGATGTAAGAACACTCGGACGATCAGGTGGGCCTGGGCCCCTTGCATGTAGTCAGCTAGTGTGTGTTGCTTCCTGCATTGCCCAGGGTCTCTTGGCCTCGACAGCCCTGACCCCAGTCCCCCCTCCCCCTACTTCTAGCTTCTTTACACGCCTAACCTTCATTACTAGGTGTCTTACTATACAGATAACCCCACCTGGCTCTAGGAGTCAGTTTTCACTCACCAGTCACACATCTAAACTGGCTCCCCTGCTCCTGCTAATAGCAACCCAACACTTAACCACCTCGCTTACTACCTTGTTTTTTGAGACAGGGTTTATTTGTGTAGCCCTGGCTGTCCCAGGTCTTTTTCTGTAGACCACGTCTAACTAACTTACCTGCCTCTGCCTCCTAAGCACTGGGATTAAAGGTGTGGGCCAACACAGCCAGGCAATGGCTTACTACCTATCTCTAGTCTTGCTATGCAGCCCATGCTGGCCTTGAATTCTACCATTTCTCTTCCAAGTTTTTGTGCCCTGTACATCACTGAGCTCAAACCCTGGGCATCCTTTTTGTCCTGGTCTGTTCCATCCCAGCACTACAGGCTAGAGTTCCAAGCCATGAACCTCAGTTGAGGGGAAGACCACCTCTAAGCTCATGTGTGGAAGGCGAGAACCTCCCTTAGGCTGGGGGCACACTGTGATGGAGACCTAATTCTTATTTATGCTACAGGATCTGGAGTTCATCTCTAGCAGTGTAAACATCAAAACACAAGGTCCTTCCTCTTCATCCTCCCATACATCCTCCTTTGTGAAGAGGAAGTTAGAAAACTGAGAATGAAGGCAAAGAAGGAAACAAAGGAATTTCCCCAGATACCACATACCCTACATTTCAAAGAAGACCCGCCCCCCTCCAACCACTTCTTATATGTATGCAGGTCTATGGTGAAAGGGAGTGATGGTACCCAGTGGGCCCTGCTAAAGGTCTTAGAACACAAGAAAGCTGTTTTAACAGAGACCACTTTTCACATCCTGTCACAATCTTTGCTTTTAAGTATATACTTCAAGAATCCCCACAAAGGAATACCCCCAAATCTACTATAGGCAAGTTTGTTGTGTTTTTCTTTTTGGAGACAGGTCTTGTATTTTATATCGTCATATAAATGTTCTCTCCCTTCTGTGAAGAGAGATGCAACTCTGGTGATTCCTGAAGATACTGATGGTCCTTGAGGCAGGCAGTTGCTGGCTGTGCAGGTGAACAGCAGGAATCCAGTATTTGCTAGATTCATTTGAAATTAGTAAATCAGGGGAAAGACACACAGACAAGTTTCTTTTATTGGGTGTTCCCCCCACCCCCACCCCAGGACAAGGTCTCCCTAAGTAGCTTCAGCTGGCCAGGAACTCCTTTTTAAAGACCAGGCTCTGCCTCTAGAGTGTTGGAATTAAATGTATGGGCCACCATGCCTAGCCTCTATCGGGTGATCTGCTCTTTTGTTATATCACTATCTAAGGGAAACACATCCAAAGCAATGGTCTCCAGACTCTTCAAATAGTTCTACCTATTTTTCTGCTCTCCTGTGGAGAGATATTCTATATTTAATAAAGAATCTAGATACAAGGGGGATCCTGCCTCTTGCTACCACCTCTCTGTAATGAGTGTCCACAGCCTACGCTACCTGCACCACAGCCCTTTACCCCTGGCCCTCTGGCTGGTTTTCTCACTGAGTCACTACTCCACTCTGGCCTCTCAGCACTCTGCTTTGTCTAACCCAGTGACTGGCATCAAGGGTGAGAAGACAATGTTCCTCACCATCAGTGATCTTTACTTCACCAAAAAAGACAATAGGCACAAGCTTGCTGTTTCCTCCTGGCTTTAGCCATTCTTGATGGCGGTCAAGAAGCTGGTATTTACTGTCCATTGTTTCACTCTATCTTCTCTTCCCCATTGTCTCTTTGCTCTTAGACTCAGAGATGTACAAAACACGTCCTACAGAAAAACCATCATCCGGGCTGGAGAGATGGCTCAGAGGTTAAGAGCACCGATTGCTCTTCCAAAGGTCCTGAGTTCAATTCCCAGCAACCACATGGTGGCTCACAACCATCCGTTATGAGATCTGGTGCCCTCTTCTGGTGTGCAGATATACATGGAAGCAGAATGATGTATACATAATAAATAAATCTTAAAAAAAAAACAAAAAACCATCATCCTACTGCTCTGGACACTCTCATGCCCTATCCTGCTCACCTCAGTACTAGGCCCCAAGGAGGACCCTACAATTCCCTCCACCTGCTGTGACACCCCGCCCCTAGCCCAGTGACACTTAGTCCTGATTATGTATGGCAGTCAAGATGCTGGTCTATCACTGCTGTTGAGGTATGGCAAACTGTAAGGAGCAGGCTTCAGCACTGAACAAGGAAGACAGCCACGTCCACTGCTTTCTCCTGGAGTAGATTTGAATGTGATGTGCCCATTCAGTTTAGGTTATACCAACTCTGTTCCCTGAGGAGTTTTCAAAACAGGTTTTCCTCTCAGATGGACAGAAGCACGGTTTAGTAATCAGGGATTTACTGACACCTTGCAACAACATACAATGTCATAAAAGACATTTGGGAAGATCTGGTATTCACTCAGTATTTGCTGTGGTGCAGTGATAATTACTTGAATATGTTTCTACCTTCCATGCATACGATACTGGTTCCCTTTCATAGCTGGCAGTCTGCTGCAGACTGAGCACAGAGAGCCAGCTGCGCCTAACAACAGAGGGGAAGGTGCTCAACTTGGCTTTAGAGACCCAAAGCACCCCCATAAATACTGAGAAACAAGTGCCCAAGACCTGTTAATAAGTTATGAGTTCCTGGTATGAAAAGAAACTACATCCGAGGTCCACCTGTAGTAAGGTCACTGAAGGCCAGTGGATGGGGGAGGGTACAGGGGGTACCCAGTCACCCAGAGCACCAATTTCTGATCCTGCTACTAACAGCTGGCAGCAGAGTCAAAGTTGGTAGGCACTCTATGTGGAACAACCACACAGTACTCAACAGCACTGGTATCTGGTTAATACAGTGACACAATTTAATGATTCTAAGAATTTTTTTTTTTTTTGTAATTCTTATTACAAGTCTGGTACCATAAACATTCAAATTATCTCTCTTAAAAAGCACGTGTACAACATCAAAAGAATTAAGATGAAATATAAACCTCTCTTACATTTTTTGTACACATTAACCAAATCACATAAACCACAGATAAATGTTCAAGTTTAACAATATAATGAAAAAACATTTAGATTCTGAATAAAATCTTCCTTCAACATTTATTTTTTAAACTTACCATTATTCTAAATATCTATGCAGTTTGGGATACAATACCAAAAAGGTACCAACAGTACAAAGCAGATACAAAGCAATGTAAGAACCTTCTGGAGTGTTCCACAGGGATAAATGGCACAAAAAACAGGGCAACAAGCTTTAGGTAAACCCGGTGCAACCCTAGAGACTCTGGATCCCACTGCTGTTGATCAACCATATCAAGCTGGACACAGTCTGAGATGTCATACTATTTACCCCACTCCACATGTCTCATCTGGGCCATAGGGACCATGTTTCAAACACCAGCACAATTTTAAAGCACAAATGCTTTAAAAATGTGTAAGCAAAAGAATTGCTCAGATTTTCAAAACCATTACATTTACAAAAATATTTCCCTTAAACTTGGGATTGCTCCAAAACACTGATTTACAAATATAAAAGAATTATCAAGGACCCAAAGCATATGTGAATTGTATTAACATACTGTTACCATACTATATAAGTCACCAAAATTCAAATGTAACTATTAATATTAATGTAAGTGTTAATCATAAGCAGATGAAAGTCTCCTCTAAGTGGTCTGAACACTATGTGGCATGCAGTGTGGGTGATGGACCTCTGTGATTCCGCAGACACAGCTAACAGTCACCTCCACCCCACTACCCTGCCCTGCTCACAGGAGGAGGAATGGCGTGAGAGAGCACACATGCACCACACAGCTCTTTACGGAGAGGCCTCAACCCTACGCACAACTCTCACCAGTCTCTCTCGGATTGTTGAGCAGGCGTCTTCTTCATACAAAGTAAAGGAGCAGCATGTTCTCACCAGTGTTCTGCTCATATTTCAAGACATGGAAAAACCCACCACCTGACAGCTTGCCTATGTATGTACATAATGGAGGTGCTCAATGTCAGTGTATCTTTAGAAATGTGAGAAGAACCAAAGCAATGAGTGTGACTACACAGGACAGCTACCAGTTACCACAGTTACACTGGCTCTATGGCTCTCTGGTGTGTCATTTGCCATGCACATAGCTGCACTAATTGTGGTATAGTGACTCTAGGATGCAGAGAGTGGTTTCAACACCAATCTCACCTCACAGTACCAGAAAGGGGCAGCGCAGAGAGCTCAGTCCCCTTGATGATGAGGCTATGGTTTCCTTATTTAGAAGACTGCAAATTAATCTCAAAATGTAATGTGAATACCTCCTTTTTCAAGAAACATAAAGAGACAAGTAGGAAAACTGTCAATGCTTAAAAAAAGAGAAGAGAAGAAAACTCATTACTAGTGTATCAATAAAAGTAGATTCTGCATCTTTTAGTGCAGGGTGGGCTTCATGTGTGGAAGTGAAAAGCAGGGACTTAGGAAGAATCGAGATCTGGTTTCTGAAGAGTCAGCCACGCTTTAGCCAGGTGAGGGGAGTGTCACACTGAACCCAGTAGCAGACACCATGGGTACTATTGAATAGCCCTTCCCACAGCTTTAGGATACACAGGCAGAAGGCCCTTTTCAGAGGGAACCAGAGCTTCCAACCTGGCATGTTTGTGTGTCATCATCACCATCTGACTACTTAACACCTGTAATATTGAGAGGGCTATGTCAGAATCATTTGCTGCTCAGAGGGTGAGGAGAGAACCTTTCTATTTTTTTGGGGGGGGGGGGCTTGAGGAGGGCCTATGTAGTCCCAGCTGTCTTCCAATTCAGAGATCCATCTGCCTCTGCCTTCCTGAGTGCTAGGATTAAAAGTATACAACACCTGGCTGAAATGATCTTTCTAAGCCATCTTACATAAACAGATGTGTGGGGCAGTGCAGGGGTGGGGGTGGGGAGGAGTGGAGTGAGGCCCATGAACATTTTTGCCTGAAGCACAAATTATAAATTGATTGTGACTATCCACTTAAGACACACTGATCCAGAGGAAATCAACACTGAATAATATCATCGTTGTAAAGATAAAGATGTACATTTATTTCCATGAGTTACAAGTGCATTCTGTTCATACTAGCAGGCAGTCTTTATAGAACCCATTCTCCGGTGCTGTCAAAAATCATGGGGGAAAAAAAGACAGATGAGAAATGAAAAGCTAACACTAGAATTATCTCTCCTAAATCATCTTCTGGATAGCAGTCTCTGTGGAATACAATTCAGAGGTCACAATAGATTTTGCTCAATCATAGGATGTGACACTTGGACAGTGATCTCTGCACAGAAAGCCTTAACAGTCATGCAAGGGCACAGTAAGTATTGAACAAGGCAAACTTCTCATCAGAGAGCAGTGAGGGGGTCAGGAGGCACTGTACTGGGATAACACCATCAACTCCACAGCACACAGCGCAGAACAAAATAGATCAGGAAATAGGAGAGAGCTCGAACACAGTTACTGCTAGCCTTTTATGACATTAACTCAGCAGTACCAGAAACACCTCAATACTTGGCAACAGAACAGAGCTTCATGATGACAGCTCATGAAGGCTTTATTATAAGTCATTATACCACTGAAAAGTGAGCTTGAGATGCCGACATGCTGTAGGAGAAGAACTGTACACTTTCTCATTTTAAGACGCAGTGTTCCTCTTAACTAAACCCCAAGGCAGTGAATGTGGTTACAAAATCAGCCTTCCGTGTAAAACAGCTCAAGGCATATATGGAGCTCCACCCCGAACATCTAGGTCAGCTTGCTCTCTACTTCACCAGAAACTTCTACAGTTTAGTGCTTGTGCATCTTGCAGCAAATGACAAGCAGAACTGTTACTTTAAATCTCTGGCCAAGGACAGCATGTAACATTTTGGCAAGTGTTACACCTCCATTACAACAGAAGTAACTTTAGGGAACCTTTAGAATCAACACTGCTGGTGCAGTGCTTCCTAGAATAGTGATCCAATTGTTTTACAAGCTGGGCAAATAGTACATACCTTAAATATGGGACTAACATGAGACACAGAAAAATGTCCCCAAAGGACTCCCGTGACAGAAGTGCCTGCCCCTGAAGCTGCAATACCATCCAGGGGTGTCCACAAGCTCCTGTTCTGGGTACAGTTTACTAGTCAACAGATGAAGTGCAAATTTGGAGCTGTCACTGACTTAAAGTGCCTTATGTAATAGCATTCCTCACTGTAAAGCGAGATGCCAGTGACTGGCCAGCTTGGAAAGACTCCGCTCTGGTGAGGCTGCATGGTTCAGCAGGGTGACACGTACGCAGAAAGGGTTCAAGGAAGGAGGAACCACTGCATCTTTCAAACCAGAAAGCAGTCAGTGACTAAACGACAGTAGGCAGTGAGGGCACTGGAAGTGCTCGCTGCTGCAGGGCACTGGTGCCAGAAGACATCTCTGGATGAAGGGATTCTGTGAAAGTATAAAAGCCACTACTACCAGAAGCTGCCCCTCCAAGCAGCTCAAAGGAGTCAGAGTGGGTAAGCTGAGACGGGCTGGAGACAGGACCAGGGGTCAAGAACTGGGAGGAACACCGACATCTGAGCGCGTCCAGTCCTCTGAGCCCTTGTCCTGTAAAAAAAAGATAAACTCAGGAGTAAGGATTGAGCCATGTCACAATAGAGGCAGCAACAGCACAACATGGCAAAGTAAAGATGTAATGGGAATAAAATACTGTAAAAAGGCCACTGCACTCTCACACATAACATGGTATGTGTGACATGCAGGTCCTGGAGGTTGGAGCTCTGCTCTCATTTCACAGCCATCTTTCTCAGACAATTAAGAGCTAAGTTGGTATGGTATGATGGTTTGAATGAAAATGCCCCTCCATATGGCAGTGGCATTACTGGCGGTATGGCTTGTTGCAGGAAGCGTGTCTCTGGGGTTGGGCTTTGAGGGCTCAGAAGTTCAAGCCAGGCCCAGCACTTGGGAGTCAGAGGCAGGTGGGTCTACAGAGTGATTTCCAGGATAACAAGGGCTACACAGAGAAACCCTGTTCCAGCCCCCTTTCCCCCCAAAAGTAGGGTGGTAAGGATGAGTGCCATAGACCAATTACGTACAAGGTCATAGGCTGACAGGTTAACGAGACCTAAAATGCATCCAGTAAACCAAAGGGAGCTGAGGCTAATGCTCTTAGTAATCCATCTGCCTGAGAAAACTCAGAAATAGGCAAAGAAGAAAGGCAAACTTCTTCTACATTCACAGTATGGGACTCAGGAGATGGGTCTGGATGAAAATGAGGTACTGACAGCATCCCTTCAGATCAACACTGGAAATGTCCATATGCAAAATGCAATCAATCACCCTGACCTTTCAGGACTGCTTAGGCCACTACATAGACAACAGAAAGTTAGCCTCAGGCAGCAAGTGTTTTTTTTTTGTTTGTTTGTTTTTTGTTTTTTGAGGGTGTTTTGTCATGTCCCATCCTGTCCCCACAACCCCCACACGCCCAATGCCCCTGAGTCTCTCAAGCACTTCCTATCCTCAGCTTGGAGCTTGTCTGAGTTCCATAGGCTAAGCTCAGGGACAAATTCTCAGATCTATGCCAGAGACTGAGGTGTATGACCACATGCAGAATGAACCTGAGGACTTGTCTGTCAGTCAGAAAATACTTCAGTGCTACCACCTTCTGAATTAATTTTTATTTTATTTAAGAAGTTATCATTATTTTATGTGTATGGGTATCATATGTTGTATGTACAGTGCCCATGGTGCCACAAAGAGGGAGGAAGAACCCTTGGAACGTGGGTACTGGGACTCAAACCCAGGTCCTCTGGAAGAGTAGCCAGTGCCCTTAACTGTTGATCCATCCCCCCAGTCCCTTATTTTTACTTTAAAGAAAATAAATTAAAAGTTAGTCTAGATGGCAATTTTTTCTTGGAAATGTATGAGAGCAGCCAAATGTTAATGTGGTGGGAAAGGAGAACCTACTTAGAAATTTTTTTCAATTCTTTAGAATAGCTGAAAATTGTCATTAAAAGATCACTGGGAAAATGCCACACTTTAGAAATATATGGAATAACTGTGGGTCTCCAGCATTACACTGCTATAATAATAATATTGGCTTCCTGTCAACAGCACCTTAGTACCATCTTGGCTGTTTGTCTGTCTATCTGCAGTGTCCACAATCATGACTATTTGTCTGTTCCATGCTGCTTCTGTAAAACCAACTTTTTCTCCAGCAGCCACTTCAGACCTACCCAGAATGCTTTACCTCATTGTTTATTTACATTCTAACACAAATTCTATTTTTTTTCTTTTAAGTTCATGAAGCACAGCCCAGGCATATACAGATCCTTCTGAGCATCTAGGCAAAGTCTAGACTTTGCCTCCCTGAGAAAGCTTTTCCCGGCTTCTCTTTGCCCACACTCAATGTATGAACCAACAACACTGTCTTCCGGTACAGTGACATCTGCAGACCAGGTCCACCAGGAGATTCTCTAGCACAAGCACTTGGACTATTCCTTTTGTATCTGTCTAATCAGGGGAGACACATGGAGAACTCTAACATTGTGGATTACTGTGACTGTGCTGATGTGCTGTGAATCTGCCTAAGAACAAAAAGGGCAAGAACTGCAAGATGAACAGAGTGGCCAACAAGTCCCCATTCACCCCCTTGAGCACAGACAGTTGGTACTGCGGTGGTGGTGTGATGGGGTGAGTGGGAAGGGACGTGACTCCTAAAGAGTGAGTAAACTTTCAAAAATCTTTACTTCTAATTTCAAGTGAACTGTCTTGAGTTACAAGACAGTAGAGGGACTGCTACCCTGAAAACACACTGCTTAACAAGAGGCCCAAGAGGCCCTTCCTCTCTGAAAGCAGTGGGACCCGAACTCATGCTTCCTAGCTACCACAAGAATTGCTATGTACTCCATGTCCTACTCTCCAGCCCCCAACTGAAACATTCAAAATATGAAGCCACAACATGAAATATATTTCCCCTTGAGACTGTTTTGAACTTTTTCTCTCTTCCCACCCTGTGCCCCCCTCTATTCTTCCTTTCCTGTACAGTCTCCATTATCCTCCCTCACACACTCACTGTCTTCTTAGCTTGCTTAATTCCTATGGGTAATTCTCCTATTAGTGTTTGTCCTGAATGGCTTCCATATCTGTGCTTCATTCAGTTACACTGTTTAGTGAATAAAATTCTATCTTTTCAAATCTTTATTTTTAAAATGTTTTTATTAGTATATATTAATTATACATAGTAATGGTTTCACTGACATTTTCATACATGTATAATGTATTTTGAGCATATTCACCCGTTATCCTCTTACCCCCTTTCCCTCTCCCATTAATTTCCTCTTCTCAAGTCTTAGGAGTGTAGCTCGGTGGTATAGCACTTGCTTAGCATGCATGAGGCCTTGGATTCAATCCCTAACACCACAACCAGCCAGCCAACCAGCCAGCCAACTAGCCAGCCAGTCAGCCAATCAACCAACCACACAGTCCCAAGGCCACAAAAGTTACACAATAGAAATTCTGAACATTTAAAATGTCATATAAAGTAAAATAAGGTTTTTTGGGAGTAAATGCCTCAAAGCTGTTCCCTCCCACAAGTTATTTTCTCACATATGACCCCCAACCCCCAATACATATCACTGTCACGGTGTCTAAGAGCTGCCACTTTATTTCATGTCCTCATAATCTGTGAAAGATGAAGTCTAATTTCTTCATTTCATACCAGGAAGCAATCACAACAAAAGCTCTATCAATCAAAGGGGGACACATTGAATTCCTTTTTCCTTCTAAAGATGTTTTTAACTTGTACCATCTCTCCCTTTCTAGGGGGTTAGCTGTATAGTTAAAGTTCTAGATACCTGACCAATTTAAGATCTGTATCCTGGCTGGAATCTAGCAGTCTCTTCAAAAATGAGTTCTTTGAGCTTCTCCTTAGGTAAGTCATCCAATTCCATGTCAAACTTGAATGGTGCTTCAGCAATGGGCTTTAAGACAAAACACAAGTATTTACTAGTCACCAACTGTCACAGTCAAGGCAGTGATTTACTGATTTTTATAACACAACTCTGGCTTATATTCTAAACTTACACAGTAGGACCAATGTCTCACAAAACCTAAAAGCCCCAGGCTTGGGGTGCAGTTAAGTGGTGGCATGTGTGAACCTCTGCACAGTACAGACACAAAAACAGAGGGGGCATAACTAAGGTTATTTTGAGAATTTCTTGAACTTATCACATCTCCTGGAATGATTTTCAAATGTCTTAAGACACCAAATATCTTAGTAACAGAAGTAGAGGTTTGATTATATAATCAAAACCATAAAACTAGCCAGAGGACTGTTAAATATGAGGTCAGCCTGGGGAACTCAGTGAAAACTTGACAGAGTAAAAACTGGGCTGAGGATGTAGAGCACTTGAGACCTGGGTTCAACACCTAGTAGCACAAAACCAAAAACCAAAAAACCCCACATTAAACTAAGATAAATACATTTGAATTAAATAAATTACCATGTTGATATTTGTTATCTGAGGAAACATTATAAAGCTATTAAAAATGAAGCTGCAAGGAAGGTTAGTATTGTAGAGAAATACCTATGTCTGCATATAAGTCAATGCATCCTACTTTACTTAAAAAATTAGATGTAGGGGTGCAGGAGAGATGGCTCAGAGGTTAAGAGTACTAGCTTCTCTTCCAGAGGACTGGGGTTCAATTTCAAGCACCCACACGGCAGCTCACAAGTGTCTACAGCTCTGGTTCAAGGGATCCAGCACCCTCACACAGGCATACATGTAGACAAAACACCAATGCACATAAAAAATAAATTTTTAAAAATTAGACATAGAAAAATATAAAACTTGGAGGAAATGTTTTCTTCACCCTAACTTTTTAACACAGTTTCACTTTGTGTATAGTATAATATAATATATGTTTTACATGTATCATTTTTTGCCTTAGGCTTCCCATTACTTTGTTTACAGGTGCTATCTGTCTCAGTCAGGAACTCATGTGTCTCAAGTTGACCTCACATTTTCTACGAAGCCTTGCATTTCTCATCTTCCCATGTCCAGAGTGGCTCCAGAGCACTGGGATCATATAGCATACACGGTCACCATGTTCTTTTATGCACAGCTTGGGATGGACACCAGAACTGCATGCATGACAGGCCAGAATAAGATCAACTGAACAATATCCTAGTACACCATATTTTTTGACTTCTTAAAAAAAATTCACTGAAGCTTGGAATAGACTCATGGCCAGTGCAAAAGAGATCAATAGCTGAGATGAGGTTCCTCATGGACCTCATAATCAAATTCATACTACCCTTTCCCTAGCTGGGTGTGGTGGTGCACACCTGCACACCTTTAATCCTAGCACTTGGGAGGGAGAGGCAGGCGGATCTCTGAGTTTGAGGACAGCCTAGTTTACCAAGTGAGTACCAAGACAGCCAGGGCTACACAGAGAAATCCTGTCTCAAAAAACCAAAAATAAATATCTTTGTGTGTGTGTGTGTGTGTGTGTGTGTGTGTGTATGTGTGTGTGTGTGTGTTGGGATAATATGTACCAAAGTATGAGCATGGAGGATTGAGGAGAACTGCAGAAGACATTCTCTCATCCCAACATGTGGGTCTTGGGAACTGAATAAGCTCTCAGGTTTGGTAAGTACATTTACCCACTGAACCATCTTGCTGGCTCTGTGTTTTTTGTTTTTCTTTTGGGTTTTTGCATGACAGAGTTACTCTCTGTAGCCCTGGCTATTCTTGAATTCAGAACTCAGCCTACCTGACTCCCAGGTGTTAGGACTGAAGGTGTGTGCCACCAGCTCATACTTTGATTTTAAATGCCTAAAACTAAAGTATCACAGGACTAAGGTAGACAGTGATATGAGCTGTCAATTAGTATATACCTAGGCTTCCACATCTCATGTAGTACCCAATCCTCATACATGGACTCAAACATTACTGTATTTTGGTCATGTGAACAAGAGAACAACTGTCCCTGGAGGACACTGTGTGTACAGGACTACATAAAGTATCCTATACGTCATGTACTGCCTCAGTTTGTGAGGATGACACAGCCCCTTAGGAAACAAATACCCTGTGCAAGGGACTGAGGAGAGCCTGAGATCTCTGAATTCCCACTGATTTCTTTGTCATCAACTACACTGTAGATGTTCTGCAAGTTGCCAAATACTTGAAGTCTTAGATGTGGAAGGGAACACCATCTTCATCTTGTGTGGAAATATGAATAAGAACGGCCTCCATAGACTTATGTGGCTCAATTAGGAAGTGTCACTGTGGAGGTAGGCTTTTGAGCTACACCCAGTGTGGAACACAGTTCACTCCCCGCTGCCTGCAGATCAAGATGTAGAACTCTCACTTCCTTTTCTAGAACCATGTTTGTATGCCATCATGTCCAGCCATGATGATAATGGACTAAACCTCTGAAATTGTAAAGCTGCCACCCCAATGAAATGTTTTAGTTGCTGTGGTCATGGTGTTTCTTCACCGCAGTAAAGTGCTAAGACATCTTGATTTCTACACTCTTTCATTTTTATCAGCTTTTAGCTTTGATGTCTTTCTTTTACATCTTAATGTGAACTCCTTACTTGCTTTTTCCTAATTTAAGAACAGGCTTCATTTTCTATGCACAGAGGCCCCCAAGTAGAGAAACCTAAAATTTTAATTCACTTTCCACTTTCATTTGTTATTCTTGGGGGAATAAAGCTTAAAATGGAGCCTGCAAGAGGATCCAGAGACGCAAGGCACTGGGCCTGCTCTGGAGAAAACATGGCATGGTATGTGCAAAGCCTGCTCTCAGGAGCTACCACATCCAACTCCAGCCTCATCAACTCTTATCACAAGTGCTTTGTCTTGTCGTCTCTAGGGAATGGCACATTGTTAAGAGTCATGAACTCATGACTCTACTCGCTGCCTCAAATGAAGGCTGCCTACCTCTTCACCATCATCCCTCAGGACAAGTGCACAGAATATTGTTCTCTTTCTGCCACGGTCTACTGCAATCTCTAGTTGTGGTAGTATAGGCTTATGCTTGAATACTTGGTCCTTAGTTGGTGGAACTGTTTGGCAAGGATTAGGAGGTGTGACCTTATTGGAGGAGATATGTCACAGGAAAGGACTTTGAGGTTTTAGACTACTATGCCATTTTGAGGTACCCGCCTCTGCTTTGTGGTTATGTCTCAACATGTAAGCTCTCACCCTGTTGCCATGCCCCTGCCATGATGTTCATGGACTCTAAACCTCAGGAACTATAATCGTTTATAAGCCGAGTAACAACATTTGCTTTGTACTTTCAATACTCCGCAGTGGTGCAGCTGCCCTCTTTGTACATGCACTGCTCTACCTGCTGTGTCAGACAGTGCTCATCCTCAAGTAGAAGGTGGGTGTGCCATTATGTTCCTTAGGAAAATCGTGACAAGGGCATGGTTACAGCTTCTGCTGACTACTGAACATTTCTGATGTAACAGCCAGGAGGGTATACTCTTACCTCATCACTTGGGTCATAATACTGCTCCAGGTATGGGTGGGCCAGAGCCTGTTCAACTTCAATCCTCTTGTGAGGGTTGAATGTCAACATTTTATCCAATAAGTCCAGAGCTACAAAGAGAAAGGATTTGCAGTGGTGAGAAGCAGGACTCATTACCAAATGTTTTACATCTCCTATGGAGCTGGCCTCAAGGCAGTGGGATATCACTGTTAAAAGTCTCTCTTCAAAAACTGTATGTGTTTGAGTGTGTCACATGCATGCTGTATACTATGTGAGTGCATGGTCCACAGCCGTCAGAAGAGCAAGCTGGATCCCCCTGGGCCAGGAGTTACAGAGGGTTGTAAGCTGCCATGTGGGCCCAGGAAGTTGAACCTGGATTCTCTGGGAAGAGCAGCTGGTGTTCTTAACTACTCAGGTATCCCTCCAGTAAAGTCTTACTGTAAATCTTTTGCAACTATGTGAATGTAAGTGCTAACCACATGGCAATCACAGATGCCAATGCTCAAAGAGGGGAAATGGACAGCCAAAGGAGAAAAGTGAAGACTAGAGTTCAAACCCATATTTGCTTACTAAATGTTGACATTTCCTCTATTACACAGTTTTGTAGGTATCAAAAGTATAGAGCTGGGGCTATGGCTCAGTAAAGTGCTTGCTCTACAACTACAGGAACTGAGTTCAGATCTTCAGCATCCACATAAAAAAGTCCATGAGATTACCAGTGCAAGGAGGCAGAGTCAAAAAGATCCCAGAGGCTTTCTGGTCAGTCATTCTAGGTGAATTGGTGAGCTATAGGTACTGTGAAGTGAAAGTGATTCAGGAAGATACCCAACAAAGACCTCTGGTCTCAGCCGGGCGTTGGTGGTGCATGCCTTTAATCCCAGCAATCGGGAGGCAGAGGCAGGCAGATCTCTGAGTTTGAGGCCAGCCTGGTCTCCAGAGCGAGTGCCAGGATAGGCTCCAAAGCTACACAGAGAAATCCTGTCTCGAAAAACCAAAAGACCTCTGGTTTCCACAAGCATATAAATAAGAACACCCATACAGTCACGTGTATACGCACCCATATACTATATTCACATACCCCAATAACGTAGAAGCAACTGTAGACACCTGACATACAAAAATGTGTGAATATGTACAAAGTGTTTCTCTTGGATTCACTCCAAAGTCATTTCCTCCCCACAAAAATACAAAAATATTTTGATTGACCCATTGTTCACTCTCCTAACACTTCTCTTTTCTACTCAATAAAAAAACCCACTGACATACATGTAGTGTGAGTGTGAGGCATGCATGTAGCATGGCCAACTTACCAGGGGTCACACCCTTGAACCATCCACTCCAGAATATCCATCAGATTGGTCTCATACAGGTCTTAGAAGCAGTGACCACAGCTGCCTATCATGTCCAAAAGCCACTGTTTTGCATTACATCTTCCTGACATCTGGCTCTTTCAAGATGTTTCCTGAGCTTTGGGGATGTCCCATTTAGGGATAAGCATTCTACAGTCACTTATCTCTGCACCCTGACTGTAATTCTTAGCATTAATCTCCATATACTACAAAGTGTCTTTGATGAGGGTTTGGGCTGGACTAAACTATGAGCATATGGACTGAGTATTTAGAAGGCAGTTATTCTACCAGTTTAGCAAGGCTCTCCCCTATGATCTAGAAGCTCTCTAGCCACTGATTCTTGGTTGGACTTACAGTACACCAGGCACTAGCTCCTTCCTGTTGATGAGGTCTTAAGGCTAACCAGATAGCTGTTGGTTACCCCTTCCACAAGCCATTTGTGCTACCACACACCAATGGATTAACTTTGTATCCAAGGTTGTTTTTGTGTTTCACAGCTTGGTAAGACTGTTAATGCCTTTCCTCTCCTGGCAGCCTCCTTAACACCTTGTGCTATGAAAGCTGGCCAATGCTGGGAAGGAAGGGTATGGTGCCTTTCACAGGCTCTGGCATTTGAATATTTGATCCCCAGTTGGTGGTGCTGTTGGGGTGGGCACCTACAAGGTGTGCCCTTGCTGGAGGAACTATGTCACTGGAGGCACTCTTTTGAGAGTTTAAAGACTATTTCAAGTTCACACTCTGTTTCCTGCATGCATTCTGAGATGTGAACCCTCAGCTTCCTATTTCTGAGGTAGTGCTTTCTGCTACAATGGAGTCTTAACTCTCTGGAACCATAACTCAAAAATAAACCCTTTCTTCTCTAAGCTGCCTTGATCATGGTGTTTTACCATAGCAACAGAAATGTAAATAATAAGTTTTTCCCCCCATATGTCCTTTTCAATTATCCACACGTTACCTCCTACTGTTTTGCCCTTCTCACTTAACAGTCATGTCCACTACCTGTTACTCTTCTTTCTCTATTCACACCCCTCTTTTGAAAAAATATATTTATTTTATGTATATGGCTGTTTTGCCGGCATTTATGGTTTATTACCTACTCCTCCGGGTCTTTTCCTACTTTCCTGGCTTCATGGGTTCTCCAAACCACACACAGGAATCTAATGATTTGAAGGTGTGTCAAGTGTAACCACTTTGTTGTTGTTGGTATCCTCACTCTTAGTTTGTACACCAAATAGGTGTATTTATTTTTTTCCTGTATTTCTTGGTTATGCTTATTTTTTTTTCCGCCAGTTTTAGGTATTTCAGTATGGTGGCTATTCTTGGTCATCAACTTGACTCAATCTAAACTAAATAAAACCCATATGGCTGGGTATACCTGTGATGGGGTTTTTCTTTTCCTTTTTAAAAAATATTTTGTTTATTATGTATGTAGTGTTTTGCCTGTATTTATGCCTGCCTGCCATAAGAGGGTACCAGCTCTCATTATAGATGGCTGTGAGCCACCATGTGGTTGCTGGGAACTGAACTCAGGACCTCTGGAAGAGTAGTCAGTACCCTTAACCTCTGAGCTATCTCTTCAGCTCTGAAGGGATTTTTCTTAAATCTTTTGAGATGGGAAGAACCACCTTTAGTCTGGGTTATACCTTCTGGTTGCAGCCTATATGAAGGACATAGAAGAAAAAAACTTGCAATTACCAACATAGTCCATGAATATGGTTTAAGCAGGACTGAGTGTGTATATGTAGGGAAAGTGGTTTGAAGTGACTTCAGAAGAAGAGAAGGGGGACATGGAGACCTAACAACCAAGCCCAAGAAAATCATATTTTAAATGATAATTTTGTAAGCCACAGAGAAAAGGCCTCCATGGTCACAGAAAAAGGTTTTATTTTTAAACTTAATTTTTAGACCCTGTCTGATCTAGATTCTGGTTTTAGACACGATATTTTATCATAGTAACAGAAAACTTACTATAATAATGATATTTTCTTCAATTTAAACTCTAACAGAAACCTCAAGGTATGAGATAAGACATCATCTCTTGGATCTTCATTTATAGGCCATCAAATACTACTGAAAATTCCAAGACTTAAGTCTAAAAACCTATAACTTGTAAAGAATACAGCTTTTTAGAGAATGTGATACTAAAACAAGGCAAAACCCCAGATATAGGCAATCTATAAAAGCCTCTATTCTTACAGTGATTTCTTAGTTATTTGCAGGTGCCAATACCATGCTTACCCATCTGCAAACTGACTTGTGCAAGTGCCCCTTAGGACAGTAAGTATGTATGGTCAAGAACTCAGGCACCCCCAATCAAAGCCTAAACACTAAACACTTAGCTACACCTAAGTGTGCACAAGATGTGTGCACAGGAGTGTGAGATATATATTGATCCGTGTCATCTTTAGTGGGGTAAGACCCACCTGATTTCCTTCCTGCTCCTCACTTCTAAGAGTCCCACAATTTTCCCCTAAGGTTTCCCTTGAGAGGCAATTGAAAATAATTTGGTTGGACATGATGGCACTTGCCTACAAACCCAGCATTTAGAAGGCTGAGGATTGTGAGTTTGAAATCAGTCTGGGCTAGATACACAAACTTTCTCAAAAAACCCAACAGAATAAAGCCAAATTTCTGCCACAACCAAGTTGTCTGCCTAGTTAAGACACTGTTTAGAAAGTCTGCAAGATTATAACCGAATTCTAATGGTATTCATAAGCCTGTGGGATGCTTCCAGTCAATTCAAACTTGTTGGCTTTCAGGAAGGAAGCTCTTCAAGGCAAAACAGATAATCTGCAGCTAAAGCATTTCTAAGTCATATCCATTGGTTTCTTCCAGTTAAAAGTCCAAGTCCTTACATCTAGTAAAAATTTCCAAAAGATGACACCTTCCCTATCTTAAAAATACCTAAATCTCAGGCCCCTTTACCATAAGCACGATTCTATCCACAGCTATCAAAGAACAAAAGGAGAGAGATGTGCAGCAACTGGCAAGTGCTGCGATCACAATCAGAAAGCTCATCTCCCCACACCAGAGATCTGGTCGCTACTCAGCATGAATCGCAGCTGCCTCTGTGTACACTTTCTTCCAGCTAAGATTGTACCTGACTAGGATTGCTGATATTGTCTCACAATCCCTCATCTTCCAGTACTTTCAAAAGTTATATGTACATAGACAGCTGATTCCCATTCTTTTGCCCTTCGTATCCTTGTCCTAGTCACATCCTGGGCAGGCTGACTAGTTCTCCAGGTCTATCTTACCTATTTAGTTAAATTCTCATCTTAGATCAATACTGCAACTTCAACTTGAGTTTCTGGACAGGACCAGAGCAAACAATCTAATTCTAAAATCTGCCATAGTAACAGTGCTCCTCACACCTTCTGACCTTAGAACCCCTTTATAACCATTAAAACTTACTGAAGATATGCTACTTTTAGAGCTGATGCACAAGAACCAAGTTCAAACACAGCAAGACTGCATCAAAACCACAACCAAGGATCCATTTTTAAAAGCAGCCAAATTCAGATCACAGCCCCAGTAAGCGCATGAGTACTCTTCTTCAAGACAGCTGGTACATTCCAAATGCAGCAGCAATGAATCTGGAGATTCTCCTGTCTCTAATCCAAATTTCATTACAGGAAAGCTGGGATTACACTCCTCTAACTGGAACACCAACCCATATTTTTCAGTCTGTATCTTCCTAGGCACTTTTCTGTTGCACATATAGATCATTCTACATTAAAAAAAAAAAAAAAAAAAAAAAAAGTCTTTCAAAGGCCATGGGTTAAGCAACATTCAAAACTGTTTTTAGCCTGAGGTGACCAAATTCCAGAATAAAACAACTCTGTGGCACTAACACCATGCTAGCATATGATTCTGATTATGCCTCACATATAGAATATCAGAGTGTAAAAAAATTACAAAATGGAGTATTTTGTGAACTACATTGGATTTTTGTTTATTGTTTGTGAGACAGAGTTCTTTCTAAATGTAATCACTGTGATGTGCTCCCTCCCACATTACAGCTGATATTGGAATGTTTTAAATCTATTTCCCATATCTGATCAGTTTAATGTTATCTTTTAAACCTTAAACATTACTTAAATTTTTTGTTTACTTTGTGTGTGTGTAAGCTCACGTGCAAGGATGCCAATGTACATGTGAGGGTCAAAAGGACAAAGTGCATGAGTTATTTCTTTCATGTTTCTTATTTTTAAAAAAATTATTATTCATTTATGCGTATGGATGCATTGCCTGCAAATGTATCTGTGTACCAAGTGCATGCTTAGTGCCCGTGGAAGCCAAGAAGGTGCCAGATCCCCTGAACTGGAGTTACGACTCCATGTGAGTAGGGGAATCAAACCTGGGTCCTATGGAAGAGCGACCAGTGCTCCTAACTGAGGAGTTATCTCTATCCAGCCCTATTTGGTTTGTGTCTAAAGCTTAGGAAAAGAGTACATGTAGAACTCAAAAAAAAAAAAAAACATGGAATAGCTGAATATTGTTCTCAACAGTATGATTTTAAAAAAATTCTGTTAAGACTGTTATTTTATATGTATGTTTTGCCTGCATGCATGTATGTATACTACATGTGTGCCTGGTCTACTCAGAGGTCAGAAGAGGCATTGGGCCCTTAGCTGCAATGTGGGTGCTGGGAACTGAACCAGTACTCCCCAAGAGCAGCCAGTGCTCTAACTGCTAGCCACCTCTCCAGCCTTACAGCATTATTTAAAACTGCATTTGATCACTGATGTTGTTTTTCGAGACAGAGTTTCTCTGTGTAGCCCTTGCTGTCCTGGAACTCGCTCTGTAGACCAGGCTGTCCTGGAACTCAAAGAGATCTGCCTGTCACTGTTTCTGAGTGCTGGGTTTAGGGGTGTGTGCCACCACTGCCCGGCATGATCACTGATTCTTTAGGAATTCATTTTTGTGTATGAGCAATACTTTAAAGCAAACTTATTCCAAATGAAGATTCAACTACCTAGTACCATCTGCTGTGATCATCATTTCTGCCCACTCAGTGAAGTCACCTTGGAGAATTCTAAACCAAGACTCTTCTCAAGAAAAAACTTGCAGCATTTTTACTCAAACTTTCAACAACCATGTAGAAAAAACTCTCCACTCACCCCCCACCCAAATGCAAGAGTTTCTCTGTGTATCCCTGGCTGCCCTGGAACTCACTCTGTAGACCAGGTTGATGAGAAATCCACCCACTGCCTCCTGAGTGCTGGGATTAAAGGCATGTGCACCACTACCACCACTTGACATTCAATTTAATTAATTAAGACTAAACAATTTAATACTACATCTAGCTTCAATGTTGGCAGAACTAAAAGGTGAGTGCTTAGAATTGTTTGAACAAAAGATACAAGACAAAACTGCCCAACTTCCCACCAGAGACTCAACCCATGTATATTCTGCTCTAATTCCCACAGCGTTGACCAAATAACAAATTAAACTCTTATGTCTGCTATTTTGATAAGCTGGTAGGAAAGTAAGAGTTATTACTGACTTTTCAGCATTCATATATTGAAGATGGGTACTTTCCCTTGCATTCAATAGTTCCTCTTCTATGAATTACCATTACTTGTTCCCTGATATCATTCATTAATTTTCTTACGTATTTTTCCTACAAATCAGGGCTATTAGCTCCCTGTAGGTAGGTTCTTACTGTTATGTTCAGGGTTGCAGCAGCCAGAATGGTAGAGAACAAATGAACACTTTCTCTGGAGTTAAACATAACAACCCTTTGCAGTTGCTCCTATTAATGGGAGGGCTGTACTTCTCATCTCTTGCACTAGTTGGCAGTGTACTTTAATTTGGGCCACTAAGCATGACAGAGAGTGGTCAGACCTAGTCTCAAAAAAGCTCTTGCAGCTTCTGATGCAATGCTCTTGCCATCAGAAGTCTAGTCTCATCTACCATAGTATGGAGAAACAACTACAAGAAAGAGCACCAATAGCAAGATATGGTAAGGACACCCTGGACCACTCCACTGGAGGGGAGCCAGGAACCTCTCTGCCCAGGTGAACCAGTCAAATGAACAAATACCTGGTTATTATTCCAAGTCCCAAGTTTTGAAGTGGCTTGTCCAACAGTTAAAAATAATAAATGTAACTCATGTGAGCTTCACTGTCCATTATGAGGCCAGATAAGGATAATTATGCACACATTTATAAAGCTACTGATAAAAGATCTTCAAAATACATAAATGAGTTTTAGTCATGGGATCTTAGATCCAGAGTTATAAACACTAGTATTATGAATCTTCACATGACTCTATGATGTAAATGCTATTACCAGTCCTATTTTAGAAACGAGAAAATAGAGGCCTAGAAATTCTACATAGTTTCAAGTTAGTGTCTGGGCTGTAGAAGCTTGTGCTCTAGCCGCACACTATTCTGCCTTCCTCAGAGCTGCCCATGCCTGTTTCTACACCTTCCACACTTCTATGGTCACCGAACAGCTAAACTTCTTGATTTTTTGTTGTTAAACAGGGTTTTCTATGTAGCTCCAATTGGCCTTAAACGTGATCCTTCTGCTTCAGCCTTCAGTTCTGGTGTTATAGCTGCATACTCACCACTCTTGTTTAATTTCCTGATTTTTTTTTTTTTTTGAGACAGGATTTCTGTGTATTCCTGGCTGTCCTGGAACTCACTTGAGACCAGACTGGTATCAAGCTCACAGAGATCTGCCTGCCTTTACCTCCCGAGTGCTGAGATTAAAGGCATGCGTCACCACCACCACCATGCTAATTTCCTTTTTTTTTTTTTAAACAATTTATTTAACTTTTATTTTATTTTATGTGCATTGGCCGTCAGATCTCCTGGAACTGGAGTTATAGACAGTTGTGAGCTGCCATGTGGGTGCTGGGAATTGAACTGGGTCCATCTGGAGGAGTAAACAATGCTCTTAATCACTGAGCCATCTCTCCAGCCCCAAATTTCCTGGGTTTCAATGGCATCAATTCTTGTATGACTTTAAGTTAAGGAAAACAAGCTGAAACATTCAAGTAATCTGATAAAAAGCACTTAGAGAAGGAATAGGGAACAGAGGGTGCTGACATCTTAAGCACAAAGTTTTCTCATGTATGAGCCTCTTGAAGAGAGCAGCTCTGAAAACAGGTTACCATGCTCAGTAAATGAGATACACAAGCAATCTAAATGTACTGTGTTATGGCTAGCTTTAGCAAGTAATGGCACATCCAGCCAAGCCTGACCACCTGGAACCCTTGTTTGATCCTGGAACCCTTGTGGTAGAAGGAGCATAGCAATTCTTGCATGTTATCTGACTTCCACATGTAAAAGATAATGTTATAAAAAAAGGTAATGTGTCATATGGGTTAAGTTACAATTTTTAACATTTAACAATTAAATAACAACATGATTCCACATATATGATTTTGTTATACCCACGGTGAAACACTAAAAGCTATTTTGTAATTAGGCTGGGTGGCCTATGAATGCAACCCTAGAAATTTATTTGAGGGAAGAGGATTACTTTGAGTTCAAGGCCAGCCTGGGCTATATAGAAAGACCCTATTATAAACATGATCCCCAAAGTTATTTGAAGATTCTCATGATTCATTATCTGATAACATACTACATTGTATCAGAGATGAAAAGAGTTTCTTCTATAACCAAAGTAAATTATAAACAAATATTTCTGAACTCAACTTGGACCCATACATGTTGCTGGGCTGGGGAGACAGCACCATAGGTAGTGTTTGCCTGGAAATCTTGAGGGTCTGATCCCAATCTCCAGAATGCAAAAAGGCTGGGAGGATAAGCAGATCTCAGGTAAATGACACATGAGGTTGTTCTCGTCTTTTAAGACACTCCCCTACCCGCCCTTAACGTTGAAAATATTCAGTGGGAAGGGAGGGAAAGAGTAAGAACAAAAAATTTAGAAAAACCTAAACTCTCAGCAGATGGCTACTATAAAGTCATTAAAGATAAGTCACTTCTATGTACTAACATGAAGAACAGACACATTTCTATTAACAATTGACATTTAAGAAAATAATGTTGGAAATAAATTTTACCTTTTAAAAATACTCCAACAATTTAAAAACTATTGCAAGAATTTGTAAGAGTACAATTTTTTTTAAGAGTACAAAATTTTTTTTAAAGTGTAAATTTTAGGTAAAATGCGTATGTACATTTTTAGCCATGAAGACACAAAGACAAGCAGTGTTGTGCCGGTAAGCTACAAGCTGCTTTCTCCTTGGCCTGTTCAGATCCTCTCTTTTACTGTTCATTGGAGAGAGAGAGAGAGAGAGAGAGAGAGAGAGAGAGAGAGAGTACAAGAGTGCACTCTAGTAGTTCCAATGATGTCAACATCACTTGGTGAAGAGACTGATAAAAAGAACTATCAGGATCTTTACAAGAGGGGTCCAATCTTACCTGATGAAACATCTTTTCAGTCTAGCACATTTTAAATAAAGAATTACCCAATGGTTATAAGTTAATTTGCTGAGTTTTCAGGTTGGAACTTAGTAATTTAGCCAACACACCAAGCAAACCTAAAGCTAAGCTTAAGAAAAAAAAAATTATCAATAAAGTAAGATTTACCTTTAGAGTCAGCATTTGGGAACAGCCTGTTCCATGGCACCTTATTTTTGTGTGGGAGAGAAAGCAAGTAGTTTCTAGCTTTTAGATTTATTATACAATTCAGATCTTCCTGTGATGGAGATCCAAGAATACCTATCAGACAAAATATTTTCTGTTAATTGTCAAGATAAGAACAAATTATTACACATATCAGCTATAGCACAGAAGGGACTCCACACTTAATGTCATCTCACCTCTGCCTCCCAAGTGCTGGGATTAAAGCCATGCGCCACCAATGCCCATCACACTACCAATTTTTACAAAAATATCTTTTAAAATTTTAAAGATGAAGAAAACAAACAACCCCGCTACCATCTATAGTGAGTCTGAACTTACCCAGGATATGATTCAGCTGGTCAAGGTAGTGCTTCCCTGGGAAGATAGGCCGGTTGGAGAGCATCTCTGCCAGGATGCAGCCCACAGACCAAATATCAATGGACTTGGTATAACCCTGTGAAAGGAAGGGAACAAGAGACAGTAATAGAATGTGGAATGTACAACAACACAACGAGCTCTTCTTATATGAGAGTCTAAGCATCTCCTTTGAGACTCCCATTTCAAAATACATGGACTCAAAATGAAAAACAGTAATTTGGCTTTCTTAAGAGTTGCTGCTAGACGGTGGTGACGCACGCCTTTGATCCCAGCACTTGGGAGGCAGAGACAGGCAGATCTCTGTGAGTTCGAGGCCAGCTTACTTTACAAAGCAAGTTCCAGGACAGCCAGGGCTACACAGAGAAAAAAACAAATACAAAAAAGAAACCCTAAACCCCCCAGAAGAATTTGGGGAGGGGGGAGTAGTAACACTCATTGTATCATTTAGCTCGTTTTTATGAGCTTGCAAATAAACTTATATGGACACTGCTATATTTCTGGAATAACTATTTATTTTATAAATAATACTAACAATACTAATGATAATACTAATAATAATCAATCAGGCTGAAAAACTTCCACCTCTAGTCATGGTGTTGGCTCCAACATTCTCATCTTCTCTATTGACTTCTGATATATAAATTTTCTTCATTGTAACAATAGCACAAGATGCCTCTATAAGGGAAATGTTAGGTATAGTAATAAATGGGAAGAGAAATATAAACAACAAGAAAACAGCAGTCAACTAGTAAAATTGAAGAGTGAGCTGATTTGGGAAACTAGAGGAGCCAGTAGGTCCTGCAGTAACAATACACTAGGTAGAATTCTTTCTAAAACTTTTGTAATCTAAAATACCTGTTGCTCTGGGCCAACCTAAGTAATGGGAACAATGAAAAACCCAAACAATAACACAGATATATTATGAGCAATTGGGGCCTCCTGGGAGAATGGCTGTTCTAGGTCTGGGACAGGGACTATATATAGAAGACAGTCTTGGAGCAGCTGCTGTCCAAAGCTGCTGGGGAGGGAGAGGTCTACATCCCATTCAGAGTACAATATAACTTGAGAACAAATAATAGAGAACACTAAAACACAAAAGGAAAGATGGTTATGTTACCACCAAGAGTAAGAGAAACATTTGAGAGTTTGATGAAAAGAAAATTTCACAGTCAAACTATTTTCCCTCCAATTACTCTTATCTGCAGTGTTCTGGAATGACCTAGAAATTGCACATGAGCATCACCCACCATCAGCACGAATAGCCTTGCCTTCTAATATGCTCAAGTTAGTACTGTTTCTGTGCATGCACATTAAAGACATAGCATAAAAGTCAAGTCCTAAGACAGCGCTACATTCCTCATAGATAGCGTGGGTTAGAGCAGGTCATATGCTGTTCACAGTCACAGTGGGTAGCTCACATCACTGCCTGCAATTCCAGCTCCCGAGGATGCAATGCATAAACCCACACAGACACACAACAACAAAACCAAAATGCCTACCAGAAAAAACAAAACAAAACAAACAAACAAACAAAAAAACCCAGCAAACCCAAATGGAAGCTCAATGTCCTGAGCAGTCCTCAATTTTGCTAACTGGCTTATAGTTCTAACACAGAATTCATGCTTCATAACAGCCCAGACTGGCCTTAAACTTGTGGCAACGCTCCTACCTTTGCTCCATAGTGCTGGGATTATGTCTGCCTGCTTCGCCCGGCACCCAATTGCTCCTTTTCCTGCTGTTTGAGAGAAGGTCTCTCTCTTCATAGCCTGAGTTGCCCTAGAACTTGCTATGCAGAATCATAAAGATCTGCTTGCCCCTACCTCCTGAATGCCAGGATCAAAGGTATGTACCACATATTACCACAATCCAGATTGTTGGGTTTTTGTTTTGTTTTATTTTTCTCTGTGTAGCGCTGGCTGTCCTAGAATTTGCTTTGGAGACCAGACTGACCTTGAACTAACAGAGTGCAGCCTGCCTCTACCTCCTGAGTTTTGGGATTAAAGACCAGGTTTTGCTGGCAGAGTTTGGATGACCAGGATACACTCTTCACAAAAATCTAGTGAAAAGGAGGAAGGATTTCATTTTGAAACATGTCTACCCTGTAATTTCAAGAGTCCATAGTGGTTTCTATTTTTTCTACACCTAGTGCCTTAGGACTACAGACAAGGGTGGATACAGACATTTATGGTCACCATGACTCAAGATAGTAAACCCTAAGGCCCAAAAGTTCAATTCTGAGAAAAAGATAGCACTCTGGCTCTGGCCAGATATACCAGACTGAAGGATGGAGACCAAGGTTTACAGCTATTGTTTCTTTTTCTTACCTTGGAATTCAACATAATTTCTGGAGCTCTGTACCAACGTGTGGCTACGTACTCTGTCAAGAACCCTGTGTGATCATGATCCGGATCTGCAACACGGGCAAGGCCAAAGTCACAGATCTAAGGGGAAAAAATGTGGACACCTTCTTAGAGATACACTATGAAAATAAAAAAGGCAATTGCAACACCAAAGATTACAAGCGTATGCTACCAATACTACACTAGACACCTTTCTAGTACAAGCTCATCATTCTCAAGTGATGACAGACCTTATGTTGGAGGTAAGGAAACAGGCACAACCTGACAACCATGTTTACATCCCACCACCATCAGTCATTAAGTGCACAGCACTCACTCAGGTGATTTGAGAAAAACTATCTTAGTCGGGCTGGAGAGCTGTGCATTTCAACAGTGAAAAAAGCACAGACTTCTCTCTCAGAGGACCCGAGTAATCACCAATATCCACATTGAGTGACTCACAATTGCCTATAAATTCCAAGTGATCTGACACTCTCTTCTGGCCTCCTTGGGCACTGACATACTACGATGTACAGACATATAAACAAACATAGAAATAAAATTAAACCTTAAAAACAAAACTGTTAGGATAAAAATCACCAAACCCAGAGCCCTTTACCTCTCCATGCAATTGTGGCTCGAAGAATCACTGGTGGTCTGCTCCTTAATCTGTCTGCCCTGTCCTATTTCTCAGACTCCTATTTCTGGCCAGTTTTCCATTTACTCTAGAACTAATGTTTTGTTTTTACTTCCAAAAATTCTTCTCACTTCCCTACTTTTCACATAGCCAATCCTGATAGTTTTAAAGCTTTCATGTACTGAAGATAAACCATTTGTTCTGAAGTTCATTCATGTATTGTATATGTGTGTGTGTGTGGTGGTCAGGAGGATGACTTTCAGAAGAAGTTGACTCTCTCCTTCTATTATGTGGGTTCCAGGTATTAAACTCAGGTCATCTGGCTTTATCACTGTCATCCACCATTGCTGTGTGTGGCACCTAGTTTCTCACATTCTGAATCCCAGGACTCTTACCATCTAGCTGTCTTAATACTGTGATGCTACTTGGGTCAGCTGCCTTACAGACTCCAGTGTATATTAAATACTTAGGTCAATTTTACATATAAGTGAAAATAATCTCTGGTCTCCAGGAAACCAATGCAAGAAAGAGACAGCTTAAGAGATGGAACACAGTACAGTAGAAGGCCATTTGGAAGACAAATCAATATGGAGGCTTCACTGTCCTAAGTCAGCTGAAAATCAAGGTCCGGCACTTAAGTTCAACAGTAAAAGACTGGTTAATGATAACAATGCATCGGAAAACCTCCAGGAGAAACGGTGATTTTTTTTTTTAAAGATTTATTTATTTATTATGTATACAGTGTTCTGCCTGCATATATGTCTGTAGGTCAGAAGAGGGCACCAGATTTCACTACAGATGATTGGGAGCCACCATGTGGGAATTGAACCCAGGAATTTTGGAAGAGTAGGCAGTGCTCGTAACCACTGAGCCATCTCTCCAGCCAAACGGCCACTGTTTTTTGTGGACCATTGTGTGTGTGTGTGTGTGTGTGTGTGTGTGATTTTAAAATTTATTAGTTTTCAAAATTAGTCCATTTTAATGAAAACAATTTGACCAAAATTCTGCCACAGAATTGAGACCCAATAAAACAAGTTTACTGAGAGAAAGAGAAATCAAAAAACCAAGGGCTTAAACTTTGGCCATAAGAGTAGGACAACAAAGAAAGAATAAGTCTAACAGATACAGGACATAGTTATTTGGACCTCTATTTGTTTAGTAATCCCAGAGGGTAACTGAGAAAGACAGACAAAGAAAGACTCCCTGCCACCATTCAAGTATCTTTCTCCAGCTCACTGTGCAGGCCTGGCAGCAGAGCAACACCTTTGTTCTCAAAGAGCTGCACACTTGTTCTGTAGAATGTCACTGTGTTGTCAAAAGAAGTGGGCAGAGCACCCTCTTCTTCACTAACTCTCCTGCAGGCTACTTCCCATGTGGGTTCTCACGCAGGGGAGAGAGAGGAACTCCTGAGGTTCTCCACAATGCATCGTCGTCTCTAGCCTCTCCACTTGGTTTACAAACCCTCATAATGACCCTGAGCCTCCTTTGAAAGACAACTTGCTTGCCAATGAGGCTACAACCCTGATGGTCATATGCTATCAAAGCACTCTGCCAGTGAGATACATTTCTAGCTCAGCTAAGACTATAAATTTTAGTTATTTTTATTATATATTTAAATGTAGATGTGTCAGTGACATGGTGTGTGTACAGAGGTCAGAAGGTAACATTTAGGAATTGGTCATCTCATTGTTCAATACAGGGATCAAATTCAGGTTTTCCACTTTCAAGGGCAGACATTCATCTTCTTGGCTTGGCATACCTAACAAAGCTTCACAAAGAAATGTTCACTTAACTGAAAACTCAAGAAATTATTCCTACACATCTACATATACTTTTTAAAGTTTCTTTACTGAGATATATGCACATAGTTAAAGTATATAATGCTATAGTTTTTAATATTACAGTCACAGGGTTATGCAACCTTAGATCAATAACAAAAAAAAATTTTTTTTTTAACAAATCAGTACTGTTTCCCCTAATGCTGTCAACTATAAACCCACTGTATAGATGTACCACATTTCATCCACAATTAGCTGGACAGTTGATTATTTACATTTTTGTGATACAAAGGATCAAAAAACAACACACATAAAGTAAGTAAGCACACACATGCACATAAGAGCTATGAACTTGTTACAGTGGCTACTATCTCTGGAAAGGGAAGAATGGATTAAAGGAACAAGACTGATACTGTGTACTTGTATTTTTGCTATAAAATATTTATGTTCCTGGTAGTTTTGAGTACAAAAACCAATACCTCAAACACAAGTTGTTTTTAAAACTACGCGTCATCCTGAGAGTAAATGGCTTAGCTGACCTTAAGATCGCAAGTGGTGTTCAGCAGGAGGTTGGAAGGCTTGAGGTCACGATGCAGAACATTAGCTGAATGTATGTATTTTAATCCTCTCAGGATCTGATACAGAAAATAGCAGATATGGTCATTGCTGAGGTGTTGTGTCTTCAAGAGCTTGTAAAGATCTGTCTCCATGAGGTCCTGTACTATATATCTGTTTGACAGGTTAAGGTAAAACATGCAACAGTTGGTCACACTTAGCAAAGCACCAAAACAAATTCAACTTCTCTTAATCCTTTTACCATACAGCTTCTGATATAGCAAGGCCATCAATGGAAGGAAGAAACTGAAGAGAAAATGGGTATATTCTCATGGAAGAGAACATGCACCATCTATCTCTGCCCTATGTGGCTTCTTGTTGGCCTAGACTGAGACTTGAAACAGAACTGGCCAATCTTGAAGTCTTAACTCCCCTGTTCCCCAAAATTGTCCATCATTAGCCAATTGTCTCCAAAACTTAAAAAGTGTGGTAAGGCCAGGTTTTGGTGGCGCACGCCTTTAATCCCAGCACTCGGGAGGCAGAGGCAGGTGGATCTCTATGAGTTTGAGGCCAGCCTGGTCTACAGAGTGAGTTCTAGGACAGCCTCCAAAGCCAGAGAAACCCTGTCTTGGGGAAAAAAAAAAAAAAAAAAAAAAAAAAAAAAAAGTGTAGTCAACAAACATCAGCATTCATCTCTGGCCCTGAAGCAACGTGTAATGACACTGTTGTTTTTGTTGCTTCCTGCCACCAATATCCTCAGACCTAGAAATGGCACCGCCTCCGAGTCCAATCTCTGCCTTTCTTCCTTATTGACTACTGTTAAATTCTCATACCTATATGAAACTAAAGGAAGCAATGTAAAGAAGGGGTTGGTGCTGAGTTTTGTTCTTGCCTGCAGAGCTACTATTCAAGTACCTAAAACCTTAGCTAAGCCACATTATTTCTTTTATGAAAATTATATTGTGACAGGTGGTAGTGCTGCCGCCCAGCACTTGGGAAACAGAGGCAAGTGAATCTGAGTTCGAGACCAGCCAGCCAGCCTGGTCTATAGAGCGAGTTCCAGAACAGAAGAGGGGTACACAGAGAAACCTGTCTCCAAAATCCAAAACAAAACTTGTCAATCTGTAAGAGGCTTTATGACAAAAGGTAAAACAAGATCAACAGGTGGTGGCAGTAGGAGGCATTTCACTTAAAATACCACACCAGCTACTAACAGAGCTGTTTAAAAGTGGCAAATGTGCTTGGAGACATGGAAGTGGCACTCCCTGAAGGTGCAGGCTACAAGGGGATCTTACAGCGCAGCTCAGCCTTGATCTCTAGCACTGGCTACAGTTACATGCATCAGAGCTAACCTGGTCCTAACCACGAGGCCCAGTTTATCCATCCATTAAAGTCTAAAGACAGGAAGCTGACGCTGCAAGAGGAGCACACCAGGACTGTGGTGAAGGTGCTGATCTGGCCAGGTGAATGATAGTTTGTTTCCCTTTGAACTATCATTAACAGGCTTAACAGGGCTGGAAATGACAATAACCAAGATGTTCAAAAACTAAAAAGAAATTGTTATAGTGACTGACAGACAAACCACTAAACTAAAACATACTAAAATTAGCTACCAAAAACTGTTAAAATCTAAAATGCTTTAAACAGTAACGTGCATCAGATTACAACCTCCTCTTAGCACCCTAGCATGCTTTATGTGTATGGGAGGAGTGATTACAAAACGCTTTGTGTACTAATCCTTGATTTCCAGTTATCTACTCCACAAAGTGATCAAACAGCAGTGGCGGTGGCAGCTAATGCTGGAAAAGGATACACATCTTTCATTTGCTCAATGGTTGGTGCCCGGATGATGTCATTGATGCCGATGATATTCTCATGTCTGAAACGCAGCAAGATTTTTATCTCTCTTAGGGTTCTCTGGCAGTAGGTCTGGTGCTCAAAGGGGCTGATTTTCTTGATAGCAACTCGAACTTTGTTGAGATTATCGTAAGCAGAGCTAAAAATAAAATAAAAAAAAAAATCAAAGGTGTATGGGCATTTGTCTACTTTTACTGATACTTTTGAGTAAGTCTATCCTAAGACGATACTTTAGGAGTAACCTTGGTGGAGGTTTCAGTCATTTTACAATGCCATTAACATGGCATGTCCCCAAATACTTTGAAATGAAATACAATTCTTAAACAGAATAATTTAAATGTTATTTCTCCTTGGTTTGTACACTTTGATCCAAAGTTTTTAGGGAGGCAGGCAAAAGAATGTACAGTTTAGGTACCTACACTGGGATCTACTTTCAGAAACACTCTCGGTAGTTGGTGGTGGCACACACCTTTAATCTCAGCACTCAGGAAGCAGAGGCAGGTGGATTTCTGAGTTCAAGACCAACTTGGTCTACAGAGTTCCAGAACAGCCAGAGTTACTCAGAAAAACCCTGTCTCAAAAACAACAACACCAAAAAAGAAATACACACTCTCTTTGGTAATCATAACAAGAGGAAAAACATAGTTAAAACAGTTAACAAAGGATTGGGAGTGTCAGCTTGGTGCTAGGAAGCTGCCTAGTAGCATCATAAATCCTGGAAATTTGATCCTACATCGTGGCAAAAATTAAGTAAAAATAAAGTTACAGGTCAGAAACTCAACATTATAAATTCTTATTTTTCATTAAACGTAGTAGTCAAACCTGGCTTGTTTTACAGAATTATAATCTACCAGAATTATAATCTACTGCTTTTATTCTGTTTGTTCACTTATTTATTTATAAGGCAGGGCAATTTGTTTATATTTACTTATTTGCTTAGTTTTTTTGAGGCAGGGTTTCTCTGTGTAGTGGAACTCATACTATAGACCAGGATGGCCTCAAACTCAGAAATCCACCTTCTCTGCCTCTAGAGTGCTGGGATTAAAGGTGTGCACCACCACTGTCCATCTATTTATTTATTTTTAAGACCAGGTTTTTCTAGCCCTAGCTGTTCTGGAACTCAGTTCTGCCCGCCATTGGTATCAAAGCACAATGGGTTTATCTAATGGGACTGTTCGAAGGAGTCAAGCATCAGTGTGACCTTCTGTATCATCCAACTTGGTGGTGAAATAAACCAAAAAGACTTCTTTGAAGGTGTGATACTTACCCTCTCCCACCTTCACCTGAAAGGAAGCTGATCCTGTTCGTATAGTGTGGCCTACTCCTGTCTGCAGATATACATGCAGACAAAACACTCATATGCATACAAATAAAATTTTAAAAAGAAAGGGTAAGTAGAGCTAGAGTTACCTATCCTAATGGCGCACACCTATAATCCCAGCACTAAGGAGGCAGTGGCAGATGGAGCTCTGAGTTGGAGAACAGCCTGGGTTACATAGTGAAAGAAAGACCTCTGTGTGTGTGTGGGTGTATGGGTCAGTGAATAAGAGCACTAACTGCGTTTCCAGAGGTTCTGAGTTCAATTCCCAGCAACCACATAGTTACTGGCTCACAACCATCTACAATGAGACCTGCTGCCCTCCTCTGGCCTGTACTGCAAGCGAACATGCAGGCAGAACACTGTATACATAATAAATTTAAAAAAAAAATCATATTGTTTTTCCTGAAGGCCCAAGTTCAGTTCACTTCTGGATTGGATTTGAGGCCTGCTCTCCAGGAAAGCTGTGTCTTGTACTATATACATCTAGTCAAGAGTCTATGCCCAGGGAAAACATGGGTCCCAGGGGAGAATGTACATGCTGCCAATTTGCCTTCTAAATGTATCTATACCCATAAGTTACAATGCTTTCTCAAGGTTGGTAAGAGAAGCTTCTTTCTGCAGTGGGCAGCAATTGATGTAGAGATTTGCAAGTGGTCAAAGTGCTGAAAACAAGTGAATGTTGAATGCGCAGCCCTAAACTGTCCATCTGGATCCTGCGCCCTCCCCCCCAACATACCCCTGGCTAGAAGGAAAGTTGTGAAATGTTGCATATGATCAAGCCAATCAATACGTCAGCATGAATGAGAGAAGGGTTCATCCTATCCAATAATAGCTGAGGAATAACTGGCAAGTGATGGCTGCTGGGGGAGAAGTAAATTTTCTTTGGGGGCACAACTATTGATGCCTATCTTCTGGTAGATGGCCCCATGTCCATTTAGGCACACTAACTGGACTCAAAAGTTATAAGAAAAGCAAGAGGACAGGAATGTGGGAGGGAGAAATGTTGGAGGCATCTGGGGAAAGTAGGAGAGATATGGGCTAAACATCACCCAGATACACTGCATAAATTATTATGCACAAAATTATTAAATTTAAATGTGGGGAGTGCAGGACTTTGGATGTGTGTACTACTCCAGGGCTGAGATGGGTTGCAACAGATTCCAGAAGCATACTGATCGGCAAATATGGAATCAGAGTCCATAAAATTCTGTATATTATTTAGCAGATGCTTTGTGAACACTTAGGGAAGAAAAGGGAATCAACATGAGTCAATTATGAATAGTCATGGTAAACCAACTTCATTTCCTGTTTTGATAGGGTTGCCGCAGCAACAACAGAGTGCTGGTCACAACTTCTGGAGAACTCAAGCGACTTGACATGTACTTCCCCCATTTGAGAGACTTCATGCAAAGTGTGGTGGAGGAAAAAGTTCCTGCTCTTGAGAAGCTATGAATTTACTAAGGAATGGAGACAACAACACAAAGAGAATCTGGGCAGATTAGTTCCCAATAAGGATATTAGAGAAAGGATGAAAAACTGGATCTAAGATCCAGGTATGGTGGTGCATGTCTTTAATCCCAGCATCCAGGAGGCAGAGGCAGTAACAGACAGATGGGTCTACATAAAGAGTGTAAAAGCCAACCACAGCTATACAATGAGATCCTGTCTAAAAGGCAGGCCGGCTGGCCCTAAAGAAATCATAACCTCAAAAGCAGGGGTACAAGCAAGAAAAACTATGGGACCACCCACTTCACCCAGCACTATTCCTTCCCAGAACCATGTCCACCAAACAACTCCCAATTTCTGTCTCAGAAACTATGCAAACCCATGCCTAGCAGACTATTCATGTTCTGAAGCTCAAAGTGAGTGCAACACTTTCTGCAACAGTGTGGTTGCAGAAAGAAAAAAGAGGGCTACAGTAGGGTGCTGGCACAGAATTCTCAGAAGCCTAAGAATTTTCTAATTGAGCCTGACCTTCGAAGGTCATTAAGACAATACATATTCCATTTAATATTTCTTAACTGGATTTTTTATAGCATGTGGAAAACTTCTGGTGACACAACTTGAATCAGTAAAGATGATAGCCAGTTAAGGGCAGTAAGAAATTAATAAACGATAAATAACAGACTAAGAACCCCTTGTCCAACTCTGAAGTGTTTACCCAGACAGACAGACCAGGAGAGGAAGACAATGATTATTTCAGAAGTCAGAGAAAGAAGGAACTCAAAGCTGAGGTGGAGCAGGCTAAGACCCAGAGGACATTTTCTCAGTCTACAGAGAGATGAGGTGAGTCCTGTAAGGAAATGAAAGGAAGGCAGGAGTGAGTAGAAAGAAAACAGGGGCTTAAGGTGGGGGAGAGCACAGGGAAATGCTATCAAGGGATTATGAAGTGGGCAAATTAACATTGGAGACTAGTAGGGTGAAAGAGAAAACGCCCCATGGCAAAAGAGACGGATGGAACGTATCCAAAGCTGGGCGGTGGTGGTGCATACCTTTAGTCCCAACACTCGGGGGACAGAGACAGGTGGATCTCTATGAGTTCAAGACCAGCCTGATCCACGAGAGCTAGTTCCAGGATGGCCTCCAAAGCCACAGAGAAACTCTGTCTCAAAAAACCAAAAAGAAAGAAAGAAACATATGCAAAGACACAAAGGCACTGGAGTACTTGGACACATCATCTTCACAACTTGGCTCATATCCCCACCCACCCATCCAAGATGCCCCAAACAAGGAGACTAGATCAAGTCCTTTCCAAGGCCCAAGGGTATCTTTTCTTTTCTTTTTTTTAAAAATTTATTGAGGCAGGGTTTCTTTGTGTAGCCTTGGTTGTTCTGGGACTTGCCCTGTAGACCAAGCTGGCCTTGAACTCACCAAGATCCACCTGCCTCTGCTTCCTGAGTGCCATCATTTGGATAGCCCAAGTTTACTTCAGATGTAGTATTGAAACTGTCCCAAAAGCTTGAGGACAAAAATGAAAAAGTTTACATAGGAGAAACCAAGGAGATATTAGCCTTTACCAGGTGGTCACAAGGAAACATGTACCTTCCAATATGACAGAATAAGGGCTCTGCTTTCTAATATTCTCGTGTAATATGTTTTCACGTCTACAATCTCAAACAAAAATGAGAGAAATTAAAAATAAAGAGTGTGGGGCCCTCAGAGTGAGACCTGAGGATTCCCTCAGCCTAAAGAGCAACTATGAAGCAAAGTTTATGTAGATGTAATTTAAGGAGAGGACCAGTTCCATCCCTTACAAACAGAAGGCAGAATTGAACACATGGTTCTACATTTAGAGTCAAGGACAGGAGTAATGGGCTTGCAAAATCTTCCACAGATATTGAAGAATGCCACTGAAGCCAGAGATGTCCCTGAATGGAGGCCTGAAGCGGCCACTAAATGAAGCTGTGAAAGTTAAGCCTGGATTTTGTTGGAGTCCCCAAGATGCTGCAAATGACAATGCCATAGGATGTCTGCTGTGGAAAGCTGCAGACAGAGAATGGAACCAGTCCAAAAGAGAGAAGTGTGCTGCAGTCTACAAAGCTGGGAGAAGCTAGAGATCTGAAGAGCCATTTAAGTTTTCTTCTTTTTTTTTTTTCTTTCTTTTTTTTTTTTTTTTTGACATCAGACATATAAAAGATTTGGAGTTTGCCCTACTGGATTTCAGGTCTTGCTTTGGGGTTCAGTATTTCCTCAATAATCTCTCTTTCATCCACTTAGAAAGGTAATTCTATGCCACTCTGTTCTAAGTATGAAATTGGCCTTTTGCTTTTACAGGGGGTTATAGTTAGAAGATTGTCTTGAGTGTCAAAGAGTCTTTG